GATGGGTAACGTTTTCAGCAAAGAAATGAACTGGATAAGGCTGCAGATCTTCTGAAATCTGGCCTCAGACTACCACAGAAGGAGCGTTCCGCGAATTTGTTGAGCAAAAAAGAAAGTGCAGATGCTCAGCGCATATCCATACAACTAGAACTGATCGACTGTCTGCAATCAATGAAGCAGCTTGTAAGTTTTTTATTAACAACATTGAGAACTTTACCAGATGTGAGAATTCCGTTTTTGGAATATTACTGGTAACATAATTAAGTTGGTTACCGCATGTTCACCTGAATGGCAATAAAATAAATGCTAGCTAAATGTGTCAATGTGATAGTAATTCAGCATGAAGCTGAACGTGTCATGGAGGAGGCTGTTTCTCAATGGAAGGGCAAACCGGAAGAAGAGCAGCTTTTGCTAATGAACGCCCAAGTTCATATTCGTAAAGGTGACATCGATGGAGCGCTTGCAATGCTGGGCACGGTCGGTCTATCTAGCGAATCTAAAACATAGTTCTTACCAACTTCAATATATGGTTCCTCCTTAGGTACAACCAGGACAGCCAAATTATCACTCAGCACGCATGAAAATGGCAGAAATATATCTGGAAGAGAAACAGGATAAAACCATGTTTACGATGTGTTACAAGTCTGTAAATCTGCAATTTATGTTCAAATCTGGCTCCTTTCAACCTTTTATCGAAGTCTTTGACAATACAGATGAAGAACACTTTTCATTTAAGAGAACTTTTAAAGAGCACGCCAACATCGGCTACTTATGCCCTACTTGGAGATGCGTATATGAGCGTACAAGAGGTAGTTTTTGTTTGTCAACACTTATCAGGATTAAGGGAAAGAAGAAGAAAGTCAACCATTTGAAAATGTCGCCATGTTCAGAGACTTTGAAATGCAAATTTCATTTATTTCTCCTCTCATCTTCCCCTCTCATTTTACAACTTTATCTTAGCAACAATTACAAAACAAAATTGTTTTAGACTTTTTTCTGTACCTCACAGAAAAATTTGGATCATAGATTTATTGTATATTATTTTTTTAGCCAGAAAAGGCTATCGAAGCATATGAAATGGCGCTGAAAATGTCGAATAAGGACATGGGGCTAACGGAGAAGATTGGGGAGGCATACGTCCTGTGCCACCTTTATTCCAAGGTTCTCCTTATTTTGCATCTTTTAAAAAGTAGATATGTTTTGTAGTTCTTG